GCCCGGCTATTTTTTGGTTGCAGCCGTCATTGTTGTTTGGCGGGCCCAGGTCGGATTCGAACCCGCCACCTAAGGTGTATTTGGCTGGCGCCCCAGCAGCTTGAGCCACGGGCACCAAGCCATTAAAAATAATTTTAAATGGAAGCAATAGATTATTTTTTGTTCTAGATTTCAGAGCTAAAGATATATAGTATTCAGGATGTATGATTTATGTAACACTATTTGTCATTATTTGCCCTGTGTTGGGTCTATTTTATTTATTTTCATCTATTTTTGTTAAGTGATTAATTCAAAATTCTCTAGTAAAAATAAATATCTAAAAATCAGAAAATCTCAAAAAAGATTCTTAAATATTCTTAATATTTTCCTATAAAATCATTTGCCTCAATGACTATATCATTTTCTTTTTTTCTTTTGGATTAATATAAGGATACATACAATTAGGTTAGATTGCTTGCTTTTGTTTTGTTGCAAAAATCAATTGAGCAACATGTTTCATGTCCACTCTACAATTAGGCAATGATTTGACTTCTTTGATTATATGTAACATTTTCAATATCACAATGAATATACTAAAGAAAGCACTAAAACTACAACAAGAGTATTGACTATTATTCATACTGCTTATTCCATGTTCTAATACACAGAAACAATCATGAAGTGTGCTATTACTATAGAATGCTTCAATTAGCTTAGGTCTATCCACTATGACAAGTATAATGCAAAGCAGATAATAACAAGGTTGGTCGCTGCATTCAACTTTTCATTTAGTAAGCAATTAGAAATATATTATTTCGAATTGTTAATTTTTCCCTAAGAAAATGAAAAATACCAAACTTGCAACTGACCAAGAATAAGAACTTTGACTATACCATCTACAATAGTTTTAGTCAAAGAGATAAGACACTTAGACCATTTATACTTCATAAAGAACTTCAGGAGTTTCATAAATATTAATAATTTGTATGCCTCCCACATATGTTGAGTGAACATACTTCACTATCTTCTTCTTTCTTATTTGTATTTGCACCTTAATTTTTTCATTAATCCACAAATTATATTAAAATAAAAATTCATAAACACAAATCATGAAAATGATTTTTTTATGTTCACAAAATCTGTCCATGGGACCACAATAAATTATTCTTTAAATTTTTATTTTTAATTCCCAAAAATTATATATGCATGAGTTACAATGTGATGTTTTAATATATATTTACATTATGGAATGATTAAATCAAGCAACTGAGCATATACATCACTTTGAATCCTTATTTTTATTTTTGTGCTGAGAACCTTTAAAACTCTACTATTTTAGCAATTTTGGAATATTCAATACATTAACTGTAGTATCAATGCTATTCAAAAGATCTAATACTGATTCCTACTATCTAACTAAAACTTTGTACCCTTTGAACATCTCCCCATTTCCCACACCTCCTCATAACTTCTCTTCTACCTTCTACTTCTGTAATTTCAGCCTTTTTATAATCCACATATAACTGAGATCATGTAAATATTTGCCTGAGTCTCATTATAATTTAATACATATATTATTCACCAACTATGATGCACGTCACCTGTTGTCATCACCTGTTGTCATCACCTGTTGTCATCACCTGTTGTCATCCGTAGTCAAGGTTTCACGTCTTCTTTCTCTTTTTTTTTTTTTGAGACAGGAGCCTCCAGCTGTCCCCCTAGGTAGAGTGCTATGACATCACAGCTCACAGCAACCTCCAACTCCTGGGCTCAAGCGAGTCTCCTGCCTCAGCCTTCCGAGCAGCTGGGACCATAGGCACCTGGCTATTTTTTGGTTACAGCCATCATTGTTGTTTGGCGGGCCGGGCTGGATTTGAACCTGCCACCTTGGGTATACGTGGCTGGTGCCTTAGCCACTTGAGCAACAGGCGCCGAGCCTCTTCATTCTTATTTACAATTGTTCATTGAGTAATTCACTAGTACACTATTTTTTAAATCCATATGATTAAAAAAAATAACCAAAATAAGAGCCATAAATGCCCACATTTATCTGTCGACTTTTTTCCACAATGGTATCTCTCTTTCATAAATCATACTCAATATTTAATGCAAGTTGATAAATGTAATGATTCAAATGCCTACAGAAATGTCTACTGGGTACATAATCATTTGCCTCATTGAGTATACTTTCTTCATTAATCACCCTGATTGTTGGAAAATGACTAATCAACATAAGGTTTCATGTCAATTCTATATCTCTATTGGACTATGGTTGATCTTTTCTTCTTATACTTAATCTTTCTTTTAATATTGCAGTGAATACTCTTAAGATGAGAACACTATTACTCATACTGGTGTCCACGCTACTACACACAGAGCCAACCAGAGAGACCACTGAAAAAGCCTTAAATTAGCTTGGGTGTGTCCATTCTAAAGAGTGGAAACCAGAGCAAATGGTAAGATGATTTAGATATTTTCTCTATTAATCTTTGCATCTATAATTCATTATTCAATCATTTAGGTATCTAGAATTTGGCTTAATGTATATTTCACCCGCTCTTAACAAGAAACAACAACAAATTTCCATTAATCTAGAATAAGAATATTGGCCATTATTGATATTATCTATATTACTATTATTAAGAAATAACACCTTTGAACCATTCATTTCTTAACTGATTTAGTATATTCAATATATATTATATTTTTTCTTTTTTACTCATTTCTTCATAATTAGATGCTTCACCAGTCTCATCTTTACTTATTATGCTTATACATTATTTTTTTATTTTAAAATAGTTTTTAATAATAAAATTTGTACATTTGAGGGGTACAACATGATCTTTTCTTTGCATATAGATTCTTTTATTGATCCATTTCTTATAAAAGAATCAAAATCCATGCAAATAAAGACCCCAAAATGATCCTTGAAAAACTATGTATAAGATCATTTACACTTAATGATCTTTGATTGATTGATTTATATTTTGGATCTCAGAGTTCCACACATGTGTATTCATTACCTATGACTCAAAACATCAGAAGTCATCATTGATCCAAGCTTGGGGTCTTGTTTTGTTTTTGTTTTTTTCTTTTTATCAATCTTTGTTTATTAATCAATTAACTAATTTCCTAATAATAAAATCAACACTTGTGAAGTTCAAATATCTAGAATATGAATGATCCTTAAATAGTCCTCCACCTGTATATAGAATAATTTGGTACATCAACATATCCCCTTCAGTAATCACCCTTAAGTTTTTGTATATAGATTAGGCAATATATTACATATCAATTCCATATTGATCAATAAGTCATGATTGGCTTTCTTTGATTATATGTATTTCATACTCTTCAAACAAGGAGTGTACTTCCACAAAAACTCACCTTGGCTTCTATACACCAAACACACAGCAGCGACCACCATCTTATGACTGTAGAAGAATCCTCAAACCAGCTTCAGTTTGTCCATTCTGAGGAGTACAAAACAGAGCAGTTTATACAAAAAAAAAAAAAAAAAAAAAAAATCAGGGCCATAGTCCCATTGAATCTTCCTTCTACATTTAATTATAAATTAAAAGACTTTATAGTCATTTAGGTATTTACTAATTTGTATAGCATATACATTTTCTGGACAAAACACGACCTCCACTTGGACTGACCCAGAGTAATAAAGTTGACCATGACTTATCAGTGTGTCTAAGACCATTAAATGAGGTAACACCTTGATCCACTTATTTCTTAATGGAAATCATTGTTTTCAATATATATACATATATATTACAGGTGAGGGGATGCCATCATGTTGCTCGTGGTTAAAAGGGCCGCCCTTAGGGGTTTAGGCGGCCCCAGTTATGCCCGAGCACATGCTCTGGCGCTACAGCCCGACCCCCGACGCCACGCGAAGGTGCGGCGAGGAATCAAAGGCAGCGCACTCACTTTACATTAATAATATCTCTTGCTCAACCATATGTATTGATAATTGAACAATGCAGCATCATCAAAATTGTATAATAAATCATACAGATTGATTTATACATTTACTTAATGCTTTCATCATTAATCTATTTATAATAATACTATCAAATTCACAAATCCAAAAGTAAAGGACAAGATCTTTGTACATTTCTAACATATGACCTGCAGAGTCATTTCCAATCCAGCAAGTAGACTAAATTCCTTATTGTGTTTGACCTCAAAGTCTCAGACACCTATTATTCACCTATAATGACTCACATGCCAGTGGTCATTATCATTGGTCTAGAATTAGTCCTTTTTATTGCAATCATCGCTATAATTACTAATTATCAGTAAACATTAAAGTGAATATCTATGAATCAAAAACACTTATGAACAAGCTCTCAGAACACTAGGGAACAAGATGTATATGTATCCCTTACATCTGTCTATAGATTCATTTATCTGATTTTTTCATAAATCAAACTTCAGTGTTGGGAATACACTTGCTAAGCAACATAACGTTTCATGTCCAACCCATATTTATGACTGGGTTGTGAAGAGCTTTTTTTGATTATTTTTAATACTTTTAAAATTTTACAGTGAATACCCTAAAAAGGCTACCAAAATATAATAAGAACAGTGATTATTACTCACATTCTTCTCCTGCTCCCTACCCAGAGAAGCAACAGTGGAGAATGTGATCACTCCAGTGGAGAAAGTACAGATTGCTCACTCCAGCCTCGGCCAATCCATTCTAAGAAGTACAAAGTAGAGCAGATAACAAAAATGAAAATAGAAACAATATTTCCATTGATCCATGCATGTGACTTTTCATATAGTTAGTAATTTAAGTATTTATTATTTTAGGTTAATATTTACTAATTTTTTAAATAAACTGAGAACATTAATCTTGCTATTGACACAGATCAAAAATATTACTCAATACAGTTACTGTTTTTTTTCTGAATAGACTTCATTATCTTCAGTTTATATTAATACTTTCTGAAATGAACAAATAGATTTTCATAATGGACAATGCTATACTTATTTATATTTATTTTTATTTATTATTTTCCATTGATGAATTTGTAACAATGAAATCAAAATCAATGAAAACAAAACCAAGACCATGATTCTGTTTTATTCCTAACCTCTGTCCAACCATGGCAATGAACTACACTTCTTACTGTCTTTCACCTCAGACTTCCAGATACCTATCATTCAAGCATCATATGCCACCAATCATCATCATAGGTCCAACTTTGGTACACTCTCTTCATTCTCATCTGCATTTGTTTATGAATTCATTAATTCCCCAGAAGTAATGAAATAAAATACCCTGGATAATGAAAAATCAAGGGCAAAGAATCTTGAATATCCTATATCTCTTGGCCAGGCATGGTGGCTCACACCCGTAATCCCAGCATTCTGGGGGATGAAGGTGGAGAATTACCTGAGCTCAGGAGTTTGAGACCAACCTGAAAAAGAGCAAGATCACTCTCTAATATAAGTAGCAAAATGAGCCAAGCATTGTAGCAGCCTCCAGTAGTCCCAGGTACTCGGGAAGTTGAGGCCAGAGAATTGCTCAAGCCCAAGAGTTTGAGGTTGCTATGAGCTATGATGCCATAGCACCCTATGCAGGGCAAGGAGTGAGACTCTGTCTCCAAACAAACAACAACAAAAAAAATCCTACATCTCTCTATAGACTAATTTGCCACATCTATCTACAGTTCTATCAATTGTCATCAAGGTTTCATTTATGGATTAGTCTATGTAATATTTCATATGAATTCTATATATACCACTGTGCCATGGACAGACTTCAGTGATTATATTTTACCCTATTTAAATATAGAATAAATACTCTTTATAAGACAGTATATTCCAAAAAAAAATGGGACTTTAACTGTTACATTATTTCAAAATGCCAGACACACCGAGGCAAACATAATCACTTCAAATGCATCCATTCTGAGGAGTACAAAGTCAAAAGGTGATTAGTAAAAGAAGTAACATCCATAAACCATGTCATTCAGTGTTTTTAATACATAATCAATAGAATCTATTGCTTTGTAACATATCTTCATGATGGGACAATGCTTCCCTTATTCATATTTATTTATTTATACTTGCTTATTGATTCTTTTTATAACTTTAATACATCTAATAAAATAAATCAATAATAATGAAGTAACAATAAAATCAAGGCCATGAAGACAAAATCTAAGATTATGAACTTTACAAATGTCTAAGGATCATTTCCAATAGAGTGAGTAGGTGAGATTTTCTTTTGTTTTGGACCTCTCAGTTTCAAACACATATTTTTCATCATCTGGGATTTATTAATGATGGTGACCAGTCATCAATATTGGTCAAAGCTTGGGCCTCATGCAATGTTTTATATAATCACATATCTATCATTCAGTCATGGTTGGCTTTCTTGGAGTATATTAAGCCCATCTTATTAATATATGTAATATCCTGTGAAAAATACTCAAACAAAAAGAAGAATTACAACTATTACTCAAATTGCTTTCTATGTCACCAACTCAAGTGTGTCCATTCTGCAGAGTACAGCAGAGTAGAAGATAAGATTGAGATCTTTTTTTCATTGCACCTTGCAATTAGTCAGTCATTTAGGTTTTTATTAACAAGGGATAATATATATTTCTTTTTCTCCAAAGAAAAGAAAAATTGAAATTTTCTACTAACTTACAGTAAGAATATTGGTTATTATTTCAGTATCATCCATGTTATCCTTAGCTAAAGATGATTATTTCCTTTTTTTATTTTTTATTTTTGGAGATAGAGTCTCAGTTTGTTGCCCTTAGTAGAGTGCTATTGCATCACAGCTCACAGCAACCTCCACCTCTTGGGCTTAAGCGATTTTCTTGCCCCACCCTCCCAAGTAGCTGGGACTACAGGAGCCCACCACAACAACTGGCTATTTTTGTTGCAGTTGACACTGCTGTTTTAGCTGGCCAGGGACAGGTTCAAACCCACCACCCTTGGTATATGGGGCCAGCACCCTACTCACTGAGCCACACACAGGCACCGCCCAACCATGTATTCTTAATGGACTTATGTGGACTTATGTCTTCAATATATATTAATGGCTCCTCTTATCTATGTATTTTTATACTGAATGATGCTTAAATTATTCATAAACAAAGTTTCCATAAAGTTTGTGAAATTTCAGCACATGAACTTTATGGATAGCCTGTATTTATATATATTTTTCTATTGATTCTTTCATGGATCTAGCTGCAATAACAGAATCAAAATCCATTAACATAAAAATCAAAAACATGATCCTGTATATTCCTAAATCTGCCTATAGGATTATTTCCAACATAGGCAGGAGACTAGATTTCTTTTATATGGAACCTCAAAGTTGCAAACATAACAATATTTGTTACTTATGATCATATGGCACCAGTTGTCATCATTAACATTGAAGATTGGTTCCCTTTTTCTCATTGACTTCTACATTTGTCTATTGATTAATTCTTCATTTCACTAGTAAGAATAACTATATGTCACAAAAACATAAATAACAAGATATATTTTATAGTTATCTACAGAATCATTTGTCACATTGATTATGTTTCTTTCATTAATCCTTTTTAAATTTATAAATATTGATTAATCAACATACATTTAAGGGCAATGTCATATTTATCAATGAGCCATGGCTGACCACCTTGGATTGTATGTAAAGTTTTTAATAATACAGCAAACTCACACCCAAAGCAAGACAAGAACCTTACCTATACTCACGTTGGTCTCTATGCTCACAGCACATAGACACAATCATAGAGCTCATCACTACACGGAAGAGTGCTTAAATCAGTTTGGGAACAGCCATTCTGAGAGTACAAAGCAGAAAAGATCATAAAAAGATTGAAATATTCTGTCCTTTCATCCTTGCATTCTTCTTTTCATTTTCTTAGTCATTTAGGTATATATCTGTGGATTTCAGTACTTCTAATATATATATTAATAGTTTTATTGTTCCATCATATATTTTCATAACTGGACAATGCTTCACACTCTTTACATATATTTTTTCATTGATTCATTGATCCAATTATAAAAATAAAATGCAAGAACATGAAGCCCAAGAACATAATCTTTATATTCCTAACATCTATCTATAGGATCAGAACATATACACCTGATTGTTTTATTGTGTTGGACCTCAGACTTCCAGACCTGTATTCATCGTCCATGACTCATACGCCACCAGTCGTCATCATTAGTCCAAGATTGACTCTACTTTTCTTCATTCATTTCAACATTTATTTCTTGAAATAACTCATTAATTGGTTAATAATTCTATAATAATGACTATATATACATACAAAAAACTCAAGAATAAATTTATTCTTAAGTAATAATTATAAAATAATGGGCTTATTATATTTTATACTTTTTAATAATAACAAGAATACCTTTAAAAAAAACACAAGAATTTTTACTATTACTCACAGGAATCTTTGTCACAACCCTTAGAGACAGCCGTAGAGTTTGTGGTCATGGCAGAGTGCTCACAACAGATTGGGGCATACATTCTGAAGAGTATAAAACAGACTAGATGTTAATAACTGGTAACTTATCTTCATTAGACCTTGTACTACCCTTTCATTTTCACTGTAATTTAGATATTTCTTAATCTGTCTTAATAAAATTAACTGACCAAGAATAATAATTGACTATTTCTTATATTCAGTGCCTTTAAAATTCATAGACAAACAGACAATATATTCTTTATCCCCCTGTGTCATAAAACTACAGTCTTCTCTATTTCTTGACTAGCCACATATATTCGTAGTAGAGCAATACTTTACCCTTTTAACAAAATTAACATATATATTTATTTATTGGTTCTGTCATTGATCTGCTTAAAATAATCAAATCAAAATTTATTGACAACATACTTGTTCTTAAGAATTACTTACCTCAGCTTATTCGATACCCACATAAGTAACCACCAAAACGATCATCAGTGGAAAGTGATTAAATCAGTCCTGATACACATTTATAATTCTGTAAATTACAAAGCAGATGTTGAAACCACCACCAAAGAATATTTTGCTTTATATGGATACCCTTTATTAGTGGATTAATTGAAATCTTTGGTAGTTTATGGATTTTAGAACTTCCTTATGATTGGCCGATGGTTAGTTTAGAGATAATTTTTAATACACTAATAAATATAATAAAGTTCATCACCCAAGACAAGAAAAACAACTATCCCTAAAATGGATAATAGTCTCCATGTCCCTCCTAATGTAGGAGACAATAACAGGTCAACTTTTAAATGGACTGTATTTAAATAGAATTAATCTACCATATTTTTTTGTGTATAATGTACATCCACATTTCTGGCCAACTTTCAGGAAAAAAAATTCATTTTAATTTTTAATTTGAATTTGTATATGATTACATTTAGGTACCTCTTTATATTATAAAGGAAATCTAGTATTCATTTTTTAACATAAAATGGTTACAAGAAAATTCATGTAACAATTACAAAACACAGGTAAAAGAAATTTTATGTACCAGTAAGTAAAAACTAGTGCTACACATGTATAATGGATATCTTAATATTTCCCTCAAAAATTTGGACAAAAAAGTGCACAATATACAGGGCAAAATATAGTAAATGATTGTTTCATAGAACAATCTCATCAATGGTCTATGGTTTCCCTTGTTTATGAATGTATAAGTATGTATACCTCTGTAAATATGTATGTCCTGATGGATTAATTAAATCATCTACCTGCATTTCTAATGAAAATGAACAGGGTAAAAAGTCAGCAACTCAGAACTAAAATATAACATTCATCTGTCTAAATATTTAATCCTCAAAGTGGGCAGAGCCTGGATCTTATTTTGTATCAGGACAACAATTACGTGGAATTAGAACCTATGCTTCTTATTGGCCATACCTTGTCCCTCTTTTGTTTAGTTAGCAGGTTACTCTTTTACTTATTTAATACCTTTTTACTTATGTATTATTAAAATAAAAAACTACCAATTTACTCTATAACCAGACCAAACACATTGACTATCACAAAAATCTGTCCACAGGCTCCTCATCCAAACCATGCTTCAATTGTTAATGTTTTCATGGGCCTTGGTCAATCAGAAATAGTCATAATATTTGCCTATAATAGATTCTTTGCTTCTTTCTTTTATACATTGGTGTATTGACTCAGTCACTTCAGGAGGAGTTGGGGGATGTAAAGTTTCATAATAAGATGTATATGTTTAATAATCATTGGTTCACACCAACAAAACACCATCATTGGTCCCCATTTAATATTTGTCATCCTTCATTTATATATTTGATTACGTTTCAATGATTATATTAATTCAATACTTAAGAATCTTAAAACTCAACAACAAGAAATTAGACTATCCTAACCCCTCTCCATAGATCACCTCTTAAAGAGGGGAATACATAGTTCCCATTGTGTAATAGATTCAGTTTATCAGATGAATAGATTAATAACTATCTCCAATTCATACCAATCCAATACTCTTAATTGGTTAAGGATTCATCATCTTCCATTTATTTTGTCTGTATTTTAGAGATGACAATGAACAACTACAAACCTACCATTTTACTCCACACACAAAATATTGACAATATTGTACATCTTGGCATGTGGCTAATATATGTCTATGGAGGGAGATTTTAACACAATTGTGACTAAAATAAAATTGAATAATCAATTTTTACATTAATCAATTAACTGAATAATTAACTATAAAAGTGAATAAAATGGTCTTACTTTTTTGAAATTAATTAAATATAGATGTGCTAAATTAATCCACATAACTTTTCTTCTTTTTAAATGTAGCCATTTATTCCTTTGCAATAATAGATTTAACATGCATAAAAATCACCAATCCAGAAGCAATTACTTTGCTACTTACAGGTTTCTATATATATTTTTCAAAAAGATAATAACCAAGATCTTTCTCACTCAATCCAGAGAATGATTGGATTATTGTGCGTCCATTCTGTAGAATACAAAGTAAATATGACCACTTACAGGTTTCTGTATATATTTTTCAAAAAAATAACCAAGATCTTTCTCACTCAATCCATAGAATGATTAGGTTATTGTGTGTCCATTCTGTAGAATACAAAGTAAATATAAAAATAGATAGATTAGACAGACACACAGATAAATCTAGATTCAGATCTTTTAAATATAGTCCAAGTCAATAATAACTCATTAGGAATAAACCTTTGTGATTACCATATATTTAAACTATGGATGGCATACCTATGGATTAATTGACTCAGTATTAATTTCACTACTACAATGAATACAAAACAAGAGAATAAAAACTATGACCATTATATATATATATATATATATATATCTGTTTATATGCCCTCTATCCAAATGGGGAAGAGTTAAATCTAATTTCCAAATAAATCCTGCTTAAAACAATTAGATTAATCTAAATCTTAGATTCCAGCTAATTCTTAGCAATTGTGTATATATGTATACAAACACATGGAGGTAAATAGTTATAAATAGTAAATAGTATACCTTCATATATATACATGGAGGTAAAAAAGTTACACATGGAACCATTTTTATATTGCGGTTTTTTTCTATACCATCAATACATAAAAGGAAATCCTATGTAAATATAATGTATTCATAAGTCCAAAAATGTAAGAACCTAAGTCTCTTTTCCTTACCTGGAAAGCAACTATGTAAAACTAAATTAATTACACTTTTTCCTCTATAAATATGTTCTTCATTGGTCCGTGCTTTAGCTTTATTTTAAATAGCTGATAGAGTTATTAACTTATTTTATTTTCACATTTATAAAAATACCATTATATCTATGACTCCACAGATACCAGAAAATATTAATGCCTTTCCATATGTTCACTAGATGCAGAGAAAAAGACAGATCATTTTTCTTATTTTTTTAATTAAACTTAGGAACTGAATTTAAACATAGTGAAGATTATAAGATTAATCATATCTGGTTAAGTGACATATTTTCCACATAGATCTATGAGTTAGCCTCTCCCAATTAGTTATTCAACCATAATTAATTTAACTATTTTGTCCTTTTCTTAATTAAAAAACAAATAACCTAAGCCAGAACAACAACATGGACTTTAACATCCATTTATCTAAACGCTCCTTACCCAAAAGGGTCAGCTTTCATCAATTTATTTTCCTAGAACTTAATGCTTCAGAAATGTACTAGTAATGACTCTTATTGCATTACATACTTGCATATTTGGATCAAGAATAACCTGCTTTATCTTTATTTACTCATACAGTAAATATAGTACTTTCTTCAATTTATTCATGCATTCCTTTACTAAAAATATTACAATCCATACTCAAAAGCCCAAAAAGAACAAAATAAGCTTACTTCCTATGATGATGATGAACAGGAATCTTTTTGCAATGGACCTCAGAGTTATAGGGTTTAATCAAAATCTTTGATTCAGACACCCCAGGGTACTCATCATAGATCCAAGATAAGCAAACTTTTTCTTCATTTATACTTTTGTTTATTGATCCATTCATTGACTCACTGGCAGTAATATCTGTGCAGTAATATCTATTCCCAGATCAATACCTGTGAATTCAAGAACAATAACCTTGAATATAAAATAAAACCAAGATCAGTTTACTGGCTCTTTTTTCATAGACTCTATCTTTTGGGGGGTTTTTTGACTCTATCTTTTTTTAATGAACCAGATCTGTTTTTGTAGTGGCCCTCAGTGAAGCATATATAGATCAATTAGCATTCTTGATTTCTAGTCATCTCATTCCAACTACCTTTCATCTTTCTTTGTACTGCTCCATCAATGAGGAGCTAATCGGACTTTGCACATAATGTTAATGTACAATAACAGCATTTTCCAATATACTCAATCAGTACTAGAAATGTGCAACTAAGAATTGAATTTAAAAATTCATTTCCTGGCTCGGCGCCTATAGCTCAACCGGCTAAGGCGCCAGCCACGTACACCTAAGGTGGCGGGTTCGGATCCCCAGCCCGGACCCGCCAAACAACAATTACGGCTGCAACCAAAAAATAGCCGGGCGTTGTGGCGGGCGCCTGTGGTCCCAGCTACTTGGGAGGCGGAGGCAAGAGACTCGCTTGAGCCCAGGAGTTGGAGGTTGCTGTGAGCTGTAATGCCATGGCACTCTACCCAGGGAGAAAGCTTGAGGCTCTGTCTCAAAAAAAAAAAAAAAAAAAAAAAAAAAATTCATTTCCTGGCTCAGTGCCTGTAGCTCAAGTGGCTAAGATGCCAGCCACTCACACCAGAGCTAGCGGGTTCAAATCCGTCCCAGGCCTGCCAGACAATGACAACTACAACCAAAAAATAGCCAGGCGTTGTGACTGGTGCCTGTAGTCCCAGCTACTCGGAAGGCTGAGGCAAGAGAATTGCTTAAGCCCAGGAGTTGGAAGTTGCTGTGAGCTGTGACAGCCCTCTACCCAGGGCAATAGCTTGAGACTCTGTCTCAAAAATAAAATAAAATAAAATAAAAATTCATTTTCTACAATTATTTTAAATATAAATAGGTACATGTAGATGCAGCAACCATATTGGGCAATACAATATACATTTTATTTATTTTTTTTTTTTTTTTGAGACGGAGCCTCAAGCTATCCCCCTGGGTAGAGTGCCATGGCATCATGCTCACAGCAACCTCCAACTCCTGGGCTCAAGCGAGTCTCCTGCCTCCGCCTCCCAAGTAGCTGGGACCACAGGCGCCCGCCACAACGCCCGGCTATTTTTTGGTTGCAGCCGTCATTGTTGTTTGGCGGGTCCGGGCTGGGGATTCGAACCCGCCACCTCAGGTGTACGTGGCGGCGCCTTAGCCAGTTGAGCCACAGGCGCCAGCCACAATATACATTTTATTACTGAATGAGTCTTAAATGCAGTGTAAAAATAAGATGAATTATCAATCATTCTGAAAATGAATGTCTTCCATCTTATTTTTAACTACACTTGTACTTAATTGGATAATCACAATTTTTGTTTCATAACACGTTCATATCATTACTCTATATATGGCTTACTGTAAATAATTCAAAGAACACTAAAGAAGAACTGACCCCAATTCATAAGATTGTCTACTGTTTTGTACTAAATAAAGTCTTTAGGTTCCTTACCCACAAAGGATAACAGCCAAGTAGAGACTGATTAAATCAGCCATGGTCTTCGTTCTGTGTAGATACTAACTTTCAAAAGCATGAAAAATACACATCAAGACTGATTTTAAAAAATACATTAGTTGTGTGGTATTAAATTAATGACAAAGTTGATTCAAGTATCCCAAAATATCACTTATTATTTTTTCTTTTAACTATTAATACAAAAAACACTTAAATTCATCACACAAAACAAGAACTATTAATATTGCACACATCTGTCTATAGGCAGATATACCCACATACTAAGAAGTTAGATAATCTTTTATTTGATAGAATCAACTTCTGTAGAAATGGATAAATTTAAATTCATGATTCATGGTATATTTTTAACAATGGCCTATGCTTGATCCTACATATTGTATTGATTCAATCATTCATCATTTTATTTATTCACTTACAGAAAGACCCATGGAATATTTGATTATACATTCACATAAACACAGACACAAGTCTATGAAAACCCCATGCAGAAATGCTTACGTTTATGTTTAAGCATCTATATTCCCATACCAAAACTAGGAACAGGGTATAACTAGAATAGACAATGAATCATTAGGTTTACTTCTTCCTGGCCTATGCTTAGCCCTCTTTCAGAATATTAGCTCTGATAACATACTCTATTCACATGTAACAACTCATCAATATATGAGAATTTACTAACATTAGATAAAAGTCTTAACACTGCTATATTTCTAAGTGTCTATTACCTACAGAGATTTAAAAACTAGAATTTTTCTTGTTTTTGATAAAATGCAGTGAACAATACTTTACTAATAACAATTTAATTAGTAATAATGAGATGAAGTGTGCTCATTCTTATTTCCAATTAAACTGCTAAACAACAATGAGAACTGCAACAATAAAATAGCCAGGTGTTGTGGTGGGTGCCTGTAGTCCCAGCTACTTGGGAGGCTGAGGCAAGAGAATCATTTAAGCCCAAGAGTTTTAGGTTGCTGTGAGCTGTGACGTCACAGCCCTCTACTGAGGGTGACACAGTGAGATTCTTGTCTCAGAAATAATAATAATAAAAAAATAAAATTTAAAAATAAAAAATAAAAACTCATTTCCAAAAAAGATAAAAGGAAGGCCATTTTAAATAATGGACCTCAGAGTTACAGATGGCTTTAATCAAAGTTTTTGATTCAGACACCCTCCAATCTCATCATAGGTCCAGGTTTGGCAGTTCTTTCTCCATTTACTTACACCTTCATTTTCCCATGAATTATAAATTTCCAAAAATAATATCCTTGACATAACTATAATATCTGTAGGTGCAAAATCCACAAAGCTGGGCTGGGTGCCTGTAGCTCAAGTGGCTAAGGTGCCAGCCACACACACCAGAACTGGCGGGTTCAAATCCATCACGGGCCTGCCAAACAACAACTACAGCCACAAAAAATAGCCAGGTGTTGTGGCGGGTGCTTGTAGTCCAAGCTACTTGGGAGGTAGAGATAAGAGAATCACTTAAGCCCAAGAGTTGGAGGTTGCTGTGAGCTGTCATGCCACAGCACTCTACCCAGGGCAACAGCTTGAGGCTCTATCTCAAAAAAAAAAAAAAAAAAAAACCTCCACAAACCTAACAGACTAATCTTAGTACTGTACATGTGAAATAATCAGTAAGCCTTCCTTTGTGTCACTATGATCAACATAAAGGTTCCAAGATCCATGTTCATTAAATCTATCCAATGTTAAAGATGGTATAATGAACAATCAAAATCCACAAAGGTAACCCACCAATTAGAACACAGGCAATATGTTTCACTTTCTAAGAGCTTTTCCAAAATGGTTAACAGCCTAAATGTCAACCAAAATGGAAATGCTTAAATCACTTATGGTGAAGAAACATTATGGAATATCAAATAGCTCTGAAAATTAAATTCCTTCCATCTCTTTTCAAAATTAATCCCAGTTATACTAAAAGTGGTATCTTACCTATAATATTTTCCTACTACTGATCCTTACATGGTGTTCTTTTATTTCATTTCCATATATGCCCTTTTCTTCCATTTTTCTATCATCACACATGAAAAAAACATACAAATCAAGAACAAAAGTGCTGATACTATCATTGCTTCTTACCCAGTGAAGCATTAGCCATATTCTTCATCACAGGGGAATTACCAAATCCAATCTGGTATGCCCATTGTAGAGGAAAAGACAGATTTCAAAAAAAAAATAATAATAAAAAGTGTAAATGTGTAATAGATTTTAAATAGAGATTAGTTCTGCATTATTAGACTAATCATAAATAGTAGTTTGTGTTACACTTTGATCTTCAACCCAATAGTGGTATCCTGTTCATGTACTGATTTAATTTTTAATATGAAATATTAATCCTATCAATGGACTAAACTGATTTTATTAAAATATTTACTGATTCTTTCATTTATTCATTTAATAATTCTACAGATAATTTAATTATCTACTCTTTTTCCTAAAGAAAACACAAAATAGTAGTAGCTGCACCTACTACCTAAAACACAATCCTATTACCTACAACTATCTGTATTGGCTCTGTCTGCACTGATTAACTTTCCACAGTGATACAAATGTTCTCTCCCAGTGCTGTCCACTATGGCAGACACTGGCCACATGTGGCTTGGCCTGTGCCTAGTGTGTCTGAGGAACTGAGTTTTTATCTTTATTCAATTTGAATTTAAATGTTCATAGCAAAGTGTATCTAAAGAGTGGGTCTATAAGACCCTTCCATAAACAAGAGGATAGGGAGGATTAATCATGTTCCTTCATACATAACATATACTTCTCACTAGTATCTGGTTTGCTTTCTTTAAAATAATAAAATGAGAGATGAAATTAAGTGATAGCACCAATATTCATGAACCCTAAGGATACTGGATGAAAACTTAGTGACACTAACATCTACCTATTCTTTTATCACTAGCAAAATCATCAAAAATACATTTGGATTTTTCTTTTTAAATAAAAATCAGTGAGAACAAAAGCATTTGTCATTATTATATTCACATTTTTAATTTTCATATTTATATATTTTCTATAACTATCTAAACATTAATATGAATTTTGTTATAATAATCATATATTAATATGTTTAGCATTATTTATAATATTAAGTAATTTTGAATATAAATATTTATATTGGCTATTATTTACTATAGTAAATGTTATTATACTAATTATTTAGTTATATCATTTTTTTATCTCTTTCTAAAAGTAAGACATGCAAATTCACTGTAAGCCCAGACCATAGAGAGAACATCTATTTTTATTCTCTCCAAGGGGAAAAAGCCTTAGTCAAATTTATTTGAACTCAAAATTTCAGAAACCTGTTAACAATAAATAATCTTTAATTCATTGGTTTCTTTCATAATTGAAAAAGGTATTCTAATCCTTGTCTTAACTTATACTTTATTGATTCATTGATTTTCTTCTATTTATATAATCTATACCCATAAAGAAAAAAAAAACAAGAACACATTCTGTGACTGTGTCTAATGTCCTCTACAAGCACATTTCCCATAAATGCAATGGACCTCAGAGTTACAGCAGGGTTTAATCAGAGTAGTTGATTCAGATGCCCCACGCATACTCATCATTGATCCAGACTTGGTATTCTGTGCTTTCATTCAGTTACACTGTTCTTGATTTGCTCATTGATTGTACTAATAATACAATCACCATACACAGATTAAGAGGAAAAAAGATCCCTAAAAGATGCAGATATAGCTATGAAATTCATATCTCACAGGACTAGAGGACTGGATCTCTGTATAACAAGCATCAGTGTTGCAGAGATGAATTAATCCATTTCCTCGCATCTCATCAATGCCATATTAGCCACTGAGCTGTGCGTGAACCTATTTCATTTAATGCCCATGTTAATCATCATCTTATTTCATAGTTAAAAAGATTTTCCATTTTCATGTAATCCCCTCAATAGTTTAACAGTCTGAAACAATTTAAATAAATAAACAAATTTCAATTGGCACCAAAATAAAAGAGCATACTAAAACATGCTAAAATTGATAGATAAGTCTTTCATCTTTTGTGCTAATGAATTCAGTTGTGCTGAAATGGATTAATCATGATTCTTAATTCACAACACATAGCCATCATTGGTCAATGCATGACCACCTTTGAACTGTTTAGGTATCTAACAATTTATTGCCTTGAAATAATTTAATGAGTTTACATGATCCAGTCCCCCAAGCCACAGAATGAAACTTTGATTATCACCTACGTGGATCTCTTCTCTTCTTATTCATAGAGGTAAAAGGCAGGATCTTCACCAGAAGATAATAACTCATTTGGGAAGAACATGTTCATTCTGAAGTGTAAAAAACAAATTTTAAAGAGAATTAAATAGTCTACATTTAGCTGTTTTAAATGAACCATACTTGTATGGTAATCAATTACCCACAAACTAAGATTTGTGTCCTATTTATTAAGTACACATTTTTTTATTTTAAATAATATAATGAACACCATTGAATTCAGTACCAACATGGTTTTATTTACTGTTTCTTTGCCTAGATATAAGTATATGAAAAGATGACATTAATCATAAGTGTGGTTGTATAAACGTCCATCATTACTCCATGTTCTCTCTCAATTACATAATTATTCAATCAAGCATTGATTTAGGTAAATGTATTTCTTTTTCTTAATTAAATGGTCTCTATGCAACTTGCCTAAATACAGATCAAAAAAATTCATTTTTTTGTACAGATGACCATATATTCCTTATAAGTGATAAGAGCCTTCACTACTAATTTATTGGGACTAGGAATCTCAAGAATATTTTTATAATTGTCCATTTTTTATCATATACCTTAAAAAATAAGTTCATGCATATTGTTCTTATTCTTCATTCATTGATACAATTATTTATTCATAAGCTAATTTTATTATAATAATGTAATTCATACCCTCAAATTACAAAGGTCTATGAACAAGGTTCTTATACTCATTTCCCTCAAAGAATAATGAGGTATCTTTCTCTCTAATAATGGCCCTCAGAGTTCCAGATAGGCTTAATCAAAATCTTTTGTTCAGAAGCCACATGACATTCATCACTGTCCATGATGGACATTTTTGTTTCACTTATTGATTAATTTACCAATTCACATGTAACATAATCAAAAATCTCAAAAACAAGAGGGCTGAATTTCATAGTCTTGTCAAAATGGTTCAATGAAAAATAATGAAACCAACATCTTCTCTCACCTCTGAAACACTCACCATACAATCCATAGTCTTACAGGCTACACTGAAGGAGCTATCAGCCAGTGTCTCTCCCCAAAGGGAAATCAACCATGGCATAAAATAAAGAATAATAATTCACTCCTCTGAGAGTAAGTTAAATAACTTCTATCTTCTTTTAAAAAATGCCTCAGTTATGCTAATTTATATTAAACATAGTTCGTGGTTACTAACACATACTTGGAGTATTATACTTCATACATGGAATATTTTATTTATTTCATGTATATAGACATTTATTACTTTGAAATCCTTCAGCAAACCATTCAAAACAAGAATATAAAATCAGGAACTTATTACTTACATTAGTCTATATGCCCCTTACTCAAGATAAATTTCTTCATTGAATGGTTAAAAGTCAGCTATCTTATGTTCACTCTAGAGAAGAAAAAGTAAGTTTAAAATAGATTTAGATATTTTTAATACATCTCAGTCAAACAGAAATTGAGTAATAAAAAAATTGCTCAAGAATGTAATTTTTCGTAGCCCTATGTTGAACTTTCAGGTTTAAATAATATATTAAGTGTTATGTAACTTATAATACAATAAGTATATATACTACCTAACCCAAGAAAAAGATCTATGATTACAAATATCTGCTATATAAACAACTATTAAGTGGACAGTGACTTATCAAACACTTTTCTTAACTTAAAAAAAGACTGTCTCTCAACTAAGATACTAATAGCTTCCATGTAAAAAACAATTTTACTTCAGATTAATAATTACATTTGTTTTGTTGTATTAACATTAATAAAATATTAATAATACTTATTGTACTTCATTCAAAAAATTGCTCCTTGAATAGGTCTGTTCATCTTCTTTCATGTATATACTTCTCTACTTATTTATGCGTGCGTGATTTCCTTAAAATAATACATTCCATATCTTTCAACCACAAAAGTCCAGGAACAAGTTTATTGAATTTTCCTAACTTCTATTACATATTTTCTACAGGGAATATTGGCTGTTTCTCATTCAGTAACAGATCTCAGAGTAAACAGAGGGCTTAATCAAAGGTGTTGATTCAGACGCCTCCATCAATACTCATCACTGATCCAGGCTTGGCTTTCCATTTCTTCATTCATTTATACCTTCTTGAACTGACTCAGTCATTCATAGTTTCATAAATGATAATTATACGATCAATACCCTGTAATGACACAAAACTGAGAACAAAGGGCTTTAATAGAACCAAGATCTGTTCATTACTCCCTTTCATGCAGAGAAAATAGACTAGGTCACTTTTTTTGATGAACCTCAGGTTTACACATATGGATTAATCAGCACCCTTGCTTCATATCAATTCCAAGCTTATGATTAGTGTCTATTTGCCCCTATTGCACTTGAGTTGTCTATTAATGCTGGTGTAATCAACAACCAAAGGCCTCCCACTTTAGCCCACAATTGAAAAAATTGACGTATGCTATTTGCCTCAAAAAACTAGCAATTCAGATATTTGTCAATGAGAAAATATACTAAACAACTGTAGCAAAAACATTCAATGAGAATTAAAATTACTCCGACAATATGTGAAATGCCTTCCATCTCTTATGCTCTACACTGGATTGGGTTGAATTAAGCATAAATTTTTCTTCATGACCCATTCCAATTATAGGCCCATGACTGGCCCTCCTTAATTCATGTCTTATTCAACCATTTACTTTATTGAAATAATTTAGTGGGCTCCAGTGAATGAACACCATCCAAGCCAAGAACATCAACATTGATGTTTACTTACATCGTCGATATTTACTTACATCAGTGTTTATGCTCCTTAGTCCAGAACTAATGGTTATAGGCTTCATGAATAGAGAATAATAAAATCAGCTATGTGGTTTTCATTCTATAGAGGAAAAAAAAAGCCTGTTTTTAAAAACATGTTCTCATTTTTCTAAGAAACCAAATGACTACAACTTTGAAAGGCCCATGTATGTCTTTCAAACAAAATGGAATAGCCTGTAATTTTTCTTAGAATATCTATAATGGAAAAAAAATTAATCAATGTTCTCATATCACAACATTTCTTCCTAATTGGTCTATGGTCTGCTGGCTTTCAAAAACAAATTGAGACATCAAAGCATGTCTTCTTTCTCATATAAGCAGACATCAATGTCTGTGTTATCCCAGAACAGGACAAGAACATTGAAAAATATTTGTCCATAGTCACTGCCCTCAGGAGTAACAGATTTTTATTGTCTTAATAAAAATCAGTAAAATAATTGCACTAATGTTCTTATCATTGGTCTCTGCTGGGCTCTCAATTTCATGGCTATTTAACCAACTATTTATGTAAGTAAATATGTTTCATTTTATTAATAAAACAATCAGCAATCCACCACCAAAAAAGAACAAAAACTTTGACTTTTATGTACCAATGACCTTACACCCCTAATTAGATTAGTAGCGCCTTCACAAATGATTTAAGTCTCAGACAAGTTTTAATATAATCCATGTTTCATTACATTCCTTAATATGTGATTGATCATTTTTGTTTTACTCACTGATACTTTTTTATTCATATTTTGATTTTATGATAAAAATGCAACTCATTCTCAAGAACAAGAAAAGTCAATGACAAGGGATCCTGGGCTCGTTTCCCAAAAAAGGAATAATTGCATGTCTCCTTGTAATGGACCTCAGAGTTACATAAGGGTTTAATCAAAGATCCCATTCAGATACCCCATGGTACTCATCATTGGTCCAAGCACATTTTTCTTCCATTGTATCTTCATTCATTTATTATTCACTGGTCAGTAATAACAATACAACCACAAAATTCGAGAAGCAAGATCTTCCTTTTAGTGGTTCTCTATTGACTAGATCTCCTTCCACGATGGACCTCAGAGAACATGTATGATTAGTTAACATCCACACTTCATATGAAATCCACATTCACTATTAGTTATTCTGTGGTTTTCTTTTACTCAGTTTTCCCATGTTTTACAAATGGTTTAATGAAAAGTAATAAAAATACCATATTCCAACAATGACAACGTCTTCCCTATTTGCCCAGGCTGCTACAGGAATAATTATTACTGGGTCATACCAATATGAAAAAGTTTAATTCATTTGTGGTAGAAAATAAGGCATAATGTTAAATAGTTATGAAAACAAATGAACTATTACCTATTTTTTAATCACTTTAGTTGTTCCAAATTACAATAAACAAATTTTTTGGTTCATAACACATTCCCATCACTTGTCCATTCTTGATGATTTTTATTTCTATTATAGACATTAATTCCTTTGAAATACCACTAAACATTCATAAACAAAGCATCTCAACCAAAGACATGAATTTAAGATGTTACTTACATTAGTCGATGTATCTTTACTCACAAAGCTAGCAGCCAAAATTTTGTTTCTTAGAAAATGAATATCAGCTATCCTACAGCCCTTCTATAGGAAAAAGGCAGACTTAGCCTAGGAGGGAAAGAAAATATAAAAGGCATCTTAACAGGAAACATAGAAGTAAAATTGTTTCTATTTACTGATGAAATAATATTACATTTAGAAAACCCAAATATTCTATCCCCAAAATTTAGAACTGATAAATAAATGCAGTAAAGTTGCAAGATACAAAATCAACAACATACAAAAATCAATAGATTCCATACTAATAAAGATATTACAAAAATAATCACATTTATAATACCAACAAAAAACAATAAAAACACTTTGATGTAAATATGACCAAGGAAGTACAAGAACCTGTATGGTGAAAAATACAAAACAGATTAAAGAAAACAGGAAGAAATGGGAAAATATCTTGTGTTCATACATTGAAAGAATTAATATCATTAAAATGTCTAAACTACACAAATGCACTGACAGATTCAATACAATCCCTATCAAAATTCTAAATACATTGTTCACAGTAATAAACAATCCTTAAATTCATATAGAACAACTAAATACCTGGAATAGCACCTCCCAACAAAAAATCTTGAACAAAAAAACAAACTTGAGAGCATCATGCTACCTGATTTCAAAACATATTATCAAACATTTATAACAAAACAACATGGTATTGCTATAAAAACAGAAGAATTCACTAAAGCAGTATTAAAATCACAAAAATAAAACTCACATGTTTATGGGCAATTTACCTTTGGACAATGGTACCAAGAGCATACAAAAGGGAAAGGACAGCTTTTGAAACAAATAGTATTAGGAAAACTGGTTATCCACATACATATAGAAGAATGAAACTGGATCCTTATCTTACACCATATATAAGTGTAAACTCAAAATGGATTAAAGACTTCAATATAAAACCTAATGCTGTAAAACTACTAAAAGAAAATATAGAGAAAAATCTCTATGACATGGTTTGGTCTAAACAATGATATTTTGGCTATAACCCCAAAACGGAAACAACAACATGTGTGATGTCATTTACACATGTAATCTAAGAACATTGAACTCAAACAAGTAAAGAATGAAATGATGGTTATGAGAGGCTCGGGTGAGGTTAAAGGAGGGAATAGGGAGTTATGACATTGGTCAAACAGTACAAAGTTTCAGGAAGAATGCATTTTGAGGTCTAGCAGGGTGACTATAGTCAATGATAATGTGTTACATATTTCAAAGCAACTGAGAGTACATTTAAAATGTCTCACAATGAAAATGATAGGTAAATGAGGTGATAACATATTAATTACCTTGATTTAATCAATATACAGTCTATCCATATATCAAAACATCACATTGTACTCCATAGATACATAAAATTATGATTTGACAATTTTGAATAATACTAACTTTAAGAAACAAATAAAAACATAAAATCAGTAATTTAAGTAATCAGTAATTTAAGCTTATATCTTAGAAAACAAAATGAAAATAACAAATAAAGTCCAAAGTAAACAGAAGAGAAAAATAACAAAAATTAGAACAGAAATAATGAGATGGAAAACAGTAAATCAGTACAGAAAATTAGCCAAAAAAAATTGGTTCTTTGAAAAGTTCAATAAAAAACTCTAGGTAGCTAATAAAGAAAAAAGAGAGAGGATAAGCAGTCTACTTACATCCCAGTTGCTACCATGTTTCCCCAAAAATAAGACACTGTCTTATATTTATTTTTTCTCAAGAAGACACACTAGGGCTTATTTTCAGGGGATGGCTTCCTCTCCACACCAAAATGCATGGCGTGGCTATGCAGCCATGCTATGCAGACATGCTGCATAGCCACGCCCATCACTAGGTCTTATTAAGAGGGTAGGGCTTATATTTAATAAATGCATTGAAACCCTGCTAGGGCTCATTTTGAGGGTAGGTCTTATTTTGGGGGAAAACACAGTAAATTATTTTCTGTTAACCATTTTTACAGCCTGTGAATATCAGATATGCAACACAGACCAGAAAACAATCAAAACATAGTTGTAAT